TGGACTCCGTCGGGAGCCTCGCGGGCTACCGGCCCAACATCAAGAAGATCGAGAACCGGCGCTGCTGCCCGCGGCTGGTCAACATCGACAACGAGTTCACGTGGGCCTACCGCGACGCGCTCCGCTGCCTCACGAACATCTACTGCGAGACGTCCGACGTCTACTCCGACCTGCTCGCGGAGTGCAAGAAGGTGTGCCCGACGGACAACGAGTCCATCTGGGAGGGGTCCTGCACGCCGAGCGAGCGGAGCGGCGCGCGGGGTCGGAGGCCGGGGCCGGGCGCGCTCCTCCTCGTCCTGGGCGTCCTGTGGCTCCGGTAGAATTGGCTTGTGTTTCTTTGGGTAGTTTTGGGGCGGGGCGCGGCGCGACGATTTGTCTTCGGGAGGGGTCGCGCGACGCGCCGGACGACGTCGCAAATGGCGCATTTTGCCCCGGCGCGCCCCGAGCGCTCGGGAGCGACGAGGACCTGGTGTGGCTCGAAACTGAGGCAGCTCCACCGCGGCGTCGAGGTTTTCGAGCACCATGTCCTACTTCGGGCGCGGGTCCCTCGCGAAGCTGTTGCCCGAGTTCGCGCAGAAGTGGGTGCACAACCTCCAGTTCCGCCCGCTCCGCCCGCACACCATGGAGCCGACGCCCGAGGCGAACTGGGTGCCCGGGGGCCCCGGCAAGGTGGACCGCATCATCGGCTACCGGTGGCGCGCCGGCGCCCCTTTTCGCGCGCGCGCCCCGCGAGAACCGCCCCGGCGCTCACCCGCGCCCCCCGCAGGAACCCCGCGCCCGGCTCGCGGCCGGCGCCGCAGATCCCGCGCGTCGAGCACAGGACGAGGTCTTCGACATCGGCTACCTCGGCCGCGACACGCGGCGCGCGCGGCGCGAGCGCGCCGTCATCCTCGCGAAGAAGTACCTCGACCCGAGCGAGCTCAAGGCCATCGAGGAGGGCGAGAACCCGCCCGCGCTCGCCGAGGGCGAGGAGGCGCCCGCGCCCATGTCCAAGGGCTCCGCGGGCAACTTCGGCAAGCTCAACTACGAGATCGCCGTGAGCCGCTACTCGCCCGACGGCCTGCGCTCCGCCATGTCGGCGACGCACGAGGCCCTCGCGGAGAGCATCAAGAAGCAGGACGCGGACCAGCTCGTCCACTACGCGTGGGAGGGCGAGGCCGACGCCATCGTCGCCGACTGCAAGGCCAAGGGCCTCCCGCCCATCCCGGGCAAGCCCTTCGCGTGGAAGCTCCCCAAGGAGTCCAAGATCGCCCGGTGGTAGGCCCGGCGCGCGGCGCGGGTTTTTAAAGGCGCCTCCGTTTCATGACCACGCCGTCCTTCTTCGATGGCTGGGGTGGCGCCGGGTTGCATCCATGGCCGGTCGCGAGCTCTCGACGACAAAACGACTACAACCGTCGAGCTTGAAGACGTACTTGAAGCGCGCTTAAGAACATCATCGCGAGTTGGCAATGGGCAAAGGATCTGGCGAGGCGCCCGTCGGCGCGACGATGAAGACGAACCGCGCCGGCGGCCTGGAGCTGAGCGCGCTCGGCTCAGCGTCCTGTGGCCGTGACGATTTTCGAGGGATTTTGGGTGGGAAAACAATGAGAAATCGTCATGCTTGGTAGGCTCGGCTACGGGACCTGGCAGTTCGGCTCCGGCGGCGCCGACGACTATTGGGGCCTCGAGTTCACGGACGACATGGCCGTGGCCCTGCTCAAGCAGGCCACGGCCGCGGGCGTCACCTACGTCGACACGGCCGCGGACTACGCGCAGGGCGGCTCCGAAAAGCAGCTCGGCCGGGCCCTCAAGGCGCTCGCGCCCGACGCGCGCGCCAAGGTCGTCATCGGCTCGAAGATCCTGCCGAACAACTGCGGCGATGTGCGCAAGTACACGGAGGAGACGCTCGCGCGGCTCGACGTGCCCTGCGTCGACTTGTACATGGTCCACTGGCCCATAAACGCCAGCTCGATGGCCCACTTCGCCGGCGACCGCACGGCCGCCGGAGGCCGGGACTACGCCACGACGGGAGCCGTCGCCGCGGAGTCCGTGCCGCCGTCGCAGCGGGCCTTCCTGGACTTGATGGAGCTCCAGAAGGAGGGCAAGATCAAGCACATCGGCGTGAGCAACTTCGGCGTCCGGCAGCTCGCGGACGCCTTGGAGACGGGCGTCACCATCGCCGTGAACCAGCTGGCGTACAACCTGCTGACGCGGGCCATCGAGTTCGAGATCCTGCCGTTCTGCCGGCAGCGCGGCATCGGCGTGCTGGCTTACTCGCCGCTGTTGCAGGGCGTGTTGACGGGCGCGTTCCCGACCATCGCGGACATTCCCCCGTACCGCGCGCGGACG